AAAAAACCAGCTTTTAGCTTTGTTGATTTTTGCTATGGTCTCTTTAGTTTCTTTTGCATTTATTTCTGCCCTAATTTTTAAGATTTCTTTCCTTCTACTAACCCTGGGGTTCTTCATTTCTTCCTTCTTAAAATTCTTATATATTTCATGCTTCATACAGCAGACATACAACAGAACCTGTATGTGTTGTCTGTGCAATTAGGGGAGAACAGTCACTTGAGTTTGACACTGTGGGCAGCCATCTCTCTGTGGACAAACCTCTCCTGACTTCCTTTCCTTCCCGAGATGGTACCTGTGATGAGTCCTTCAAGTGGTATCTCTCTCTATGTGGTCGGGGACTCCTGCAGGTGCCCCACACCTTCCGGGTCCACAGAGCCAAACCGTTTTGTTTACTAGGGGGGTAGCAGTCTTCTCCTGTCCTCTGAGTGCACAACGGAGTGTGCTGGAGGCTGCGTGACATGTGGTCAGATGTCAAGTGTGTGCTTGTAAAAATCCTGTTTTCATTTTGAATATGGTAAAATGGATAGGTACAACCCACAAAAATAAAAGTTCTCAACTTTTAGAGAAAAAAAAAAAAAAAGGTTGATATTCCTTCAACAGAGGAGATTTTTCTCTGGCTGTGGAAATTTCTCCTGTCTCTTTTCTCACCCGGGGCCCTCCGAGATAGGCAGTGACCCAGGTCGGCTGGTTAAGTTACTCTTGCTCCTGCGTGCGCTCGGCGGCCCCTGCTGGCGATGCTTAGGTATTGCAGGGCCCTGGAAAGAGGTCTGGGTCTTACCAGGTAGACCCCTCCGGTCCCGGGGCTGGTAATTCAGCTGGTGATACGGTTTATACATAAGCCACTGTCGCAATTGAAGTCAGCAGTTTGTTAGGTGAGATTAAATTTTCAAAATCTCTTTGGCTTTTCAGGAAAGTAGATTTCATTTGTGAAAGATGAAGTTTTTTTTGTCTCATGAAAGACACTCTCAGCGATGATCACATCCAAAGACAAACTGAAAGACCAAATCTGCTGCTGAGGCTAATGAACAGTCAGCCTTCCCAGTGGAGCTAACTGCTCCTGTCCATGGGGACACTCCTGAAGTGTCCCCACGCAATGCTTCAGCGCTCCTGGACATTTGAAGCGCCTGCCGGGGCCCTCTGTGATCCCCTGCATAATTCTGAGGCACAGGACACTGCTCAAGGGAAACTTATTTTGATGTTTCTGTGTTCTTAGAAATTGGGAGTCAGATTTGAATAGAAAAAGCAGGACTGACAAGTAACCCTGATGCATAAGAAATTATTTTTCCCTGTTTCAGTTTGATGTCATCTGGTAATTCACTTTGCTTTCAATTTTTTTTAATGAAACAGGAGATTTCCTCTGGAAGAGATCCCAATGGATGAGAAGGGAGCAGCTCAGTGGCTTCATAAACTGTACCAGGAGAAGGTAAAGGCGCCCAGCCCCCCCCCCCCCGACATCCACTCCACCCCTACCCCTGGGGTCTCACAGAGGTTCCCCAGGGGAGCTAACAGGGCAGGCAGGTAGCACGTTGACTGCCTCTAGAGACAGGGGTGCTGTGCCCCTCTCAAATTCTTCTTTCCAGTTCCTTTCTGTGTCTTTCATTTTTCCTTTTAAGAAATTAACAAACTAGAGAAAAGTGTACTGGGTATCACAATGCTTGTAGAACCATTGCCGATAATATATTATCACATTTGTTTCATTTTTTGTGTGTAAAAGAAATTGTAGGTATGCAACACACATTATATGTGTGTGTATACATATGACTTAATATGTAACAGACACAGTATAAATGACACGATGGTCTTCTTAGTGACCCCACCCAGTCCCTCCTCCATTCCGCTGACATGTCTCAGTCCTGACTCTTCTGTTTGTTTTATACATACAAATATACAGGGGACTGGCTTCTCATCTTCAGCAACAGAGAGGCTCAGATAATCAGAAAGTCCTTCTAGTATAAAACACATACTCTTTTACAAGGGTTTTAACCAAATGACAGGAGCTTCCCAGGTGGCGCAAGGGTAAAGAGTCCACCTGCCAATGCAAGGGACACAGGTTCGATCCCTGGGTTGGGAAGATCCCCTGGAGTAGGAAATGCAGCCCACTCAAGCGTTCTTGCCTGGAGAATCCGATGGACAGAGCAGCCTGGTGGGTTCATGGTGTCTCGAAGAGTCAGACCGGACTGAGCATGCAGGCAGCAGCAACCAAGTAGTAGCATATAAATCTTAAGAGGAATTCAAGCAAACTTCTAAAATTAAAGAAATAAAATGCATATCCTTTTAAACACTGACAAGTGCTAAAAAAAAAAAAGTAAGGGACCTCTCTCAGGAGCAAAAGAGGAGGTGGGACTGGGAGTCAGCTGGGAAGGCTGTGAGTTGAAGCTTGTGGAGTCTGTTAGTCCGCCCACCCTGTGGTCTTGAGTTTTGGTGACTACATGCAAACAAAAGACATGGACTTGACCTCACTCGGGGCTGGAAGTTAGAACTGAAGACCCTAATGAAGCTGAGACCCTGTTGGAATTTTTATCCTCATGGAGGCTAAACTGGAAAATGTACGTGTCAGCACAGGGAGTGACTTTGAAGCTTACCTTTCCCCTCTGAGTCTTGAAACATCTCCCTGGTGCTTCATAATCGCAGCACCATCCTTAAACAGGTGGGGGGTTGATGTTATACTAATACAACATAGTTCAAGAACAAAATCAAAATATCAGCATAAAAAAGTGGTTCCAGGTGAATCTCTGTAGAGTCCCTGAAAGAAGCACACATAAAGCTAGAAGAGCATGACTCCAGACTCAGCGGCCGAGACTTCTGCTGGAGACGCGCTTGTAACCGAGACCCGCCATGGGCGAGCATGTCAAGCAGACAGAAAATTAAACCCTCCCGAAACTTCAGCTGTGGAACTACTATTAAGCAGAGACTCAAATCCGTTTACTTGAAATGACTAAGCAAAAAAAAAGGGGGATTGAGGACTTCCCTGGTGGTCCAGCGGGTATGAATCTGCCTGCCAATGCAGGAGTCATGAGTTCAATCCCTGGCCCTAAAGATTCCACATGCCTTGGGGCCACTATGCCCATGTGCCACTGCTGAGCTCATGTGCCACAACTGCTGAAGCCTGTGCACCCTAGAGCCCGTGTTCTGCAATGAGAGAAGCCACTGCAATGAGAAGCCAGCACACCACAACCAGAGAGTCGCCCCCACTCACCACAACTAGAGAAAGACCATGTGCAACAACAAAGACCCAGCACAGCCAAAAATAAAAATTAACAAATATTTTTTTAAAAGAAGAAGGGATTGAAAACAAAAGAATGAGACCTGTTAAAAATGGAACAGATTTGAAGAAAAACCAAGTAAGATATACAGGCATGAGAAATCTAGTAATTGACAGTAAAATCTTAGTTAACAGATTAGATAGAAGATTTGATACAGCTGAAGAGAGAATTAGAAGCTGGAATCAAGACTGCTGGGAGAATTATCAACAACCCAGATATGCAGATACCACCACCCTCATGGCAGAAAGTGAAAAGGGACTTAAAGAGCCTCTTGATGAAAGTGAAAGAGGAGAGTGAAAAAGCTGGCTTGAAATTCAACATTCAAAAAATTAAGATCATGGCATTTGGTCTCATCAGTTCATAGCATATAGGAGGGGGAAAAGTGGAAGCAGTGACAGATTTTATTTTCTTGGGCTCCCAAATCACTGCGGATGGTGACTGCAGCCATAAAATTAAAAGATGCTTGCTCCTTGAAAAGAAGGCTATGATAAACCTAGACAGTGCAGAGACATTTCTTGGCCAACAAAGGTCCATATAGTCAAAGCTACGGTTTTTCCAGTAGTCATGTAAAGATGTGAAAGTCGGACCATAAAGAAGGCTGAGCACTGAAGAACTGATACTTTCGAGTTGTGGTGCTGCAGAAGACCCTTGAAGAGTTCCTTGGACTGCAAGGAGATGAAACCAATCAATCCTAAAGGAAATCAGTCCTGACTCTTCATTGGAAGGACTGATGCTGAAGCTGAAACTCCCATACTTTGGCCACCTGCTTCGAAGAGCCAACTCATTGGAAAAGACCCTGATGCTGGGAAAGACTGAAGACAAAAGGAGAAAGGCTAGATAGTACTACTGACTCAATGGGCATGAGAAAACTCCAGGAGATAGTGAGGGACAGAGAAACTTGGTATGCTGCAGTCCGTGAGGTCCCAAAGAGTTGAATACAACTTAGCAACTAAACAACAACAAAGGTTTTGAGGAAATTACTCAGTATGTAGCACAGAGGAAGTGAAAACATAAAAGGAAAGTTAAAAGATCCAGAGGCTAAACAGATGTCCAGAATGTAGCAATTAGACCATCCAGAGGATAAGGCTGGAAGAATGATGAAGAACAGTTGTCAGGGATAACCATAAAACTTCCAGAGTTGAAGAACACGGGTTTCATCAGGTTCAAGAAACACAAGTCAGGGATGGGATAGATAAAAAGAATGTATGTACATACATATGTGTACACATGCACACAAACATACATTACAGAAACACACGAAATGGAATAAACAGAGAACAAAGAAAATAATAACAGCATAAACTATTTAAGCAGAAAACAAAGCTACAAAAGAGGAATCCAGTGCACCAAAAGCTTTTCTTTAAACATATTAATAAAATGGAAAACCTTGGGCAAGGCTTACCAGTTAAAAGAGAGAAGGAATACGGTATGGGTGCATCCCGTGGTGGATGGGCAGAAAGACGTGTGCACGAGGGTGCAAAGGAGAGCGTGTCTCTGGATCAGGGTTAGTTTTTAAAAGTTGGAACCTCTTACAAAGAGTGACATCTCCCAGCAACACTATTTGCTTATTTAGCAGGAAGTGGGAAATAACCTAAAAGTGCATTATTAGAAAATAGATACATGATGTATGTTTATCCATTTGCTGGAATTCAATTGAATGAGCTGCATGCATATTCTCGGTCTAACTGAATCTTGAGAAAGTAGGTGTGTGAAAAGCAGACTGCGGTAGGTGTGTGGTGTGATGCTACTCACAGAAAAGCAGACAGCGCCGGAGCTGTCCCAGACATTGTCGTAGAGGTGCCAGTGCATGGAGTGCAGGCGTAAACCCTCCCGGGGAAGGAGACCACACTGGCCTTCGGGTGTGTGAGGAATGGCTGACAGGTCGGGACACAGACTGCCTCCGTCTGCATTGTCTGCTTAGGGACAGGCGGGCAGAGTGGAGCGGGCTGAACCACTGGGCTTGAAAACGTTCTAGAACCCCTCGAGAAGGGCCCTCGGGGTGGGGGGGCATGTGTGGGCACCCTGAGGTATCCTCATAGATGTAAGGGTCACAGCTGCTCCTGAGCTCTCAGGCCTCTGGCACCCGCCCCATGCCCCCTGGGTTGGCAGGGGCAGCTGGTGTCTGACCACACATTGGAAGAGGCTGTGACACTGCATGTTTGTCAAGATCCCCGCCCTGTTTTTCATGTAATGCCAAACACAGCTGAAGAAGCTAAATGCAGAAAATAAAACAGAAAAAGGTGAGAAGAGGTGAGACCCAGGCCCATGAGGTAATTAAGATCATGTGGGTGTTCATCTTTTCAGACTTGGTCCCAGACACACGCCTCGTCATACATATTTTTATTTATATGGAATTGTATGGCACTTAGGTTCTTTAGAAAACTCAGACTATCGTGAGTGTATCTCCTTGCTGGCACGTGGCGTGTCATAGCTACAGAGAAGTCTATCTCAGCATCTCGGCTGCTCAGTCAGGCAGCTGTCACTCTGGGTGTTTAGTGTGGCCCTGTTTCCCTGTTGAGGATGCTTTCACGTCCTCACCTGCTCCTCTGTCCTGCCATCATTAGCCACCAGGACACGGAGGAAGGAGAGGTTAAGCAGCTTTCTGTGGGTGACCCAGCTGGCAGGCCATGGACTCCCAGCAGCAGTGGCTGCCACCCTTGCTCTGGAGGTGTCGCCAGAGATGGTGCAGGGCCCGGCAGATGCTGTAGTCCTGGGGCTTGAAGGTGCCTTTTGTGCGCCAGGCACTGGCTGATCATTTCCCTAGGAGGAAACTTGCCTGATTGAAGGGTTTATGTTTTTCAAGTTTTTGATATAAGCCAACCACAGATGAAGATGTCATGTCAGCTTCATCCCGTGGCCCATGTCATGTGGTCCATCCACTTTATGTATAGGTCGAGTCATTTCTTGCTTTGGGGTTATGACAACAGCACATGTAGGCCACTGTTCCGGTTGACTCTTTCAGGATGCGCTGCAGGAGACATATAACCAGAAGGGTGTGTTCCCGGGACAGCAGTTCAAACCCACCCGCCGGCCATGGACGCTCCTCAACTTCCTCTTCTGGGCCACGCTCCTCTTGTCTCCTCTCTTCAGTTTTGTCTTGGGCGTCTTTGCCAGTGGATCCCCCCTCCTGATCCTGACGTTCCTGGGGTTTGTCGGGGCAGGTAATGAAGGGGAATGATGGCGCGACTCAAGGGTGGGAACCTTCCATGTGCTGGTGGCCATGCCCAGGCCTGGAGCCGGTCACCCGGCAGCCAGGATCGGGCCGAGCTTTGCCAGCCTCAGACAGCAGCTCTGACCACTGAGCCACGGGGCCGTGACGACGTCCACCAGATTCCAGGGCCATCTCTCCAGAAAGCTGGCCAGCCAGCCTGCCGCCTGCCTGGCATCTCGGGCGGAGAGCTGCGTGGGGAGGGTCCTGGCCACTGGGTCTGCACATGGGCGGTTGGGGGCGTGGGCTGGCATGCTGGGCTGAGGTTCCCCAGGACACTGCCGTTGCTCGCGCTGTAGCAGGTGCACGGACACTAAGTGTCGGGCACTGCAGCCCCGCAGCCCTGGCTGAGAACTGCAGCCCTCAGTGGGCCCACACCTCCCGCTGCTCCCCGCTATGCAACCCCCAGGCTGACTGGGTGGGAGAAGGGCAGAGAACCCGCCCCTCGCCCCCAGGAAAGTCTGAGGTCAAAGGCAGGCCCCCCCATAATGACTTTCCCGGCTTGCTGGCAAGGCGATCAGCTAACCTAGCCTTTTTCCTGTTTTAAAGCTTCCTTTGGAGTCCGCCGACTAATAGGAGTGACTGAAATAGAAAAAGGCTCCAGCTATGGAAACCAAGAATTTAAGAAAAAGGAATAATTAATGGCTGTGATTGAACACACATAACCTGACGGTGGTATCCAGTTAACTCAATTAAAAACAGAACAACACACCTAGAGCGGGGGAAAAAAAGACACTTAGAAACTATTTTTCTTATTAACTGGTGACTAATATTGACCAATAAAACTTGAGCCAAGAGTAAAGCGGTCAGCAGGCCTGCAGATGGAGACGCCAGCCTCGCCCCTGCGCAGGAGAGCCGGACTGGGTGCCTGTCCTGGGGGGCGGCCGCTCCCGCCCCCGGAATATGGGGGCGTACCCGGCCCGAGGGAGGCTTTGGAAACGTTCTCTTCTCGAGCTTAGATCCCGTTTTCGGTTTTTATCAATTTTCTTGGGAATTTCCCCTGCCCCTCGCCACGTCCCCTGCACCCCTGCGGACTCTCTACCCTGCTCCCGCTGAGAACTGTGTGCCTGGGTTCCCAGGCCCCCAGAGCACCTACTGGCCGCCACCAGCCGGCACCCGGCCTCCGGGCGGGGAACGTGGCCTGGCAAAAAGCACAGTGGGCGGGGCTGCGGCGGGACACGCCCCCTCCCCCGGAGCGCCTCCCTGAGCCTGCCTGCTGACACCTCGAATCCATTTTAAAGCGAGTGGAGCCAGAGAAAACGCGGCGGGTTGTCGAATTCTGCCCCTGCCCGGAGCTTAGCTCCTCTGTCCCCCTCGCTCCTGGCGGACAGCGGCCTTTCATCCCGCCGGGGGCAGGGCTGCAGGGGGCCGGCCCCCCAGCCCCAGCAGGGCCGGTGCGCCAGGGGCGCTACGTGCTGGGGAGACCTCCGCCGCAGGGCTGGCAGATGCTTTGAAAAGGTGGTGTCACCATCACCCTGTCTTCTAAAGGTGGTTGGAGGCTGTTAATATGGAGCTTTTCAGAGGTTTTTTTTCACAGTTGACCTGATGGAAGCCAGAGGTGGGGAGCCTTCCCCACTCCGCCACCTCCCTTCCAAGCAGTGCTTGCGTCCTGGAGGATGCTGGCCTCTGGGGGAGGCAGCGGAGTCTCTAGTGTCCGGGCAGCATCCCCTCCAGCCTGCAGTCACGGGGACGTGTTTCGTGCACTCTCAGGCCTCTTGGCCTGGCCGGGCTGGAAGCCTTGGGGTTGCCCGGCAGGGTGGGCCTAGGCCGCTGCTCCAGCTCTGCCACGTCATTCAGCCACAAGCCTGCATCCGACTATCTTCTTAAACTTTCAACTTGCTTTTTTAAAGTCACACTCCCCTCATCTTTTTTAGCAAGGGAAAGAAAAATAATGGGTGTTATCTCTGCTGTCCTGTAACCAGCATTCAGAATAGAGGCAGGTTGAATTTTCTGCGGTGGGGGGGGGGNCTTTCTGATTTAACGAAGATTAGCTTGTGCATTTGAATACCAAGCCCTTTGAGAGCAATAAAAATTACACCATAAATGTTTGCTTTTTTTTTTTTCTTTTTTTGGAGGGGTGGATCCTGCTTTTCACCCACTTCAGAGGGAAAGGGGGGAGGCTCCTTTAGTTTTTTTAAATTAATCTCAGAACAGTGCTTTTCTTATTTCTTTTCCTTTACCCCCTTTGTTACTGATGTTGTCATTGTCCAAAATCAGGCTGAATGTTGGGACGGTCTTCCTGGTCACCACCAGGGAGGGTGCACTCTAGACGCAACACACTAGGCCCCAAGTCGGGCCGGGCGGGGCCAGGAATCCGTGGTGTTGGCTGACCACTCTGCCGGGGGAGGGGTCTGCTGAGCCTCTCTGCAAGGAAGGGGTCTGCTAAGCCTCTGGGGGTATAGCTTTGTTGCTGCAGCAGCTTCCAGAGCCAGCCCCACTCCCACTGGAGACACAAAAGGCAGCAGTTCCAGGCCTTGGGTCCCTCCCACGGGTGCTGGATGAAGGCTGAGTCCTGAGTCCAGGCCGCTGGATGGTGTATTTCTCAGCTCAGGCCCCGGTGCTGTATCTTCTGTCGCTGACACACGTGTGCTGGTGCCGCCTGCCAAGTAGAGTCTGGGTCCTGGGCCCTCCTTTCATGTCCAGCAGTCCCTCTGGGGGGTTCCAGGGGCTTCTAGGGTGCCTGCGCCAGTGTGGCCCTGTGACAGCCCTGGAACAGGTGAGCAGACGCCAGGGAAAGGCTTACCTGCTCAGGGGAGACCACTGACAGGGTTTTTAACCCCAAAGAAGTGACCCTGGGCATCGGCTCCTTGGTGGCAGCGTGCTGGATGCACAGCCCTGTCTGGGCCACAGTCCCCCCACCCCCACCCCGAGAAGCAGAGTCAGATTGAAGAGATGGCTTCTGTATGAACTGCTGAGTAATGACTTGGCTCAGCGGCATGAGTAGTACCTGCCTGTAAAGGTGACGCAGGCATGTCCGCCTGCCGGGGCCATTTGGAATCTCCACCTCATTCGCCCAGTCACCCCCCACCCCTGTGTACACCATGGCACGAGCTCTTTCTCACTCTAACTCAGTTGCTGAGCACCGACGTCCACCTCCAGAAGCATGGTGCATGCAGTTACATGCAGGTCAGGCACTGTCTCCAAGCGGTTCACACCCATGTGACCCCTGTTCGTATCAGATTTGAAGTGAAGAACAAGTCCCTCTCTGCACGTTGCTTTGTCTCTGCCTGAGATACCTAGAGACAAGCCACATAAATCTTCGGAGCCCGACCGATTTTCAGCTGAGCTGACTGACCCTTGTGTAACGTGTGCTGTGAATTTCTCACCACAGCTGCATGCAACCCTGGCATGCAACATGGCAGGCAGTGGCGCCATGCGGTTTCCAACCCCTGGCAGTGTAACCAGGCTTAGGGGTTAAAACTGTCAGCCCAACGTGCCCACCTGCTTCCCTCTGAAGACGGCATGTCCCCCCTCCACGTGCCTGCCCCTCTCTAGCAAGATAGCTCCCAGGCAAAGGCAAACCTCTCCCCAGTGCCGTTGGGGCCAGCCACACCCGTGACACCCCCAGACTTGTCCTGGGCCGTGAGTGGTGCTGCAGGCAGGCAGACTTTCCTGTGGGTTCCGCATTCTTGCATGTCAGGGCCAGGACACAAATACGCTGGAACCTTTTTTGGGTAGGTGATGTCACACTGCATTCTGCTTGATGCAGGGGTGGACATGCATGAATTGAGTTCACCCCCAGCACTGGCCACGAGCTGATTCAGTGCAATGGAGGTATTCCCACAAACGCCCGGGAAGGAAATAAGAGCCCTCGGGGGAACCCAGGAACTCAGGGCAGTTGACTCCAGTCAGGCTGGCGGCAGCCACACCCTCCTTTCAAAGACAATTGAATTGCTTTAAAATTTGAAGCTTTGTGATGACAAGTTCACTTGGAGTTTTCTTTTCCTATAAACTTTTCAGTTTCTTAACTTTTTGTTTGCAAAGTATTTTGGACAGAAGTTGAACTGTGAATGAGATACTGAAAGGCACTAAATTGTATTAAACTGGAGTTACTTGATGCCATGAAGAAATGCATCTGATCTACTTGTATTTATTGTCTCAGAATTGTATGTGGTGACAATCAAATGTTCCTTGCCTACATACCAGGAAATTCAACTGGCTTCTGAATCATCACGATCGTCAGCAAGTACTGTAACTGTAAATGAAAATTTCTCTTTGGAAAACAACACAAACCATCGACCAAAATGTGTGGGACAGATGTCGGCGTTCTTTTTTCCATTATTGATCCTCTGCCGTACCTGACTGCTGGCCAGCTTCAAAATTGTATACAGGGTGCAAATGTATTATATGGATGCTTCCTTTTGTACACTTCGTTTTTACAATTTTGCTACAGCTTTGTGTAGTGGAGGAGAGCGGTATTTTTGGTCTCTGGGAGCCTGTTGGGGGTGGGGGGTGGGGATGGGAGCTAACTTGGACTCTAAACGCCTGTATCCCGCGAAAACTGGCTGCACGTGCCGTGTGCTGGAAAGGTCGCTTTGTACTCGGGTGTGCTCCAGCCTGCCTGAGTGGCGGTATTTTCTGGATAGAACGCTGTGGGCGTCATACTTGTTTATTAAAACTGCTGCTGTGAAAGACAGGGATAAAATATCCACACTATGAGACAGTGACTGCCTGCCTCCTCCTGGCCCTGTGCTGCTGGCCCGCGGAGGTTTTCCCTGGGCACTTCCTGGCCCTTGGGTTCCCCGCCTGCAGGCACCCTGAGGCTTGGACTGTTTCTCGAGACCGTCCTGTGATGACACTCTCTGAGCCTCCCCATCTCGTGAAAGTTGCTTTCGGAAGGGAACTCAAGCAGAGCGATGGTCAGGCGAAAGCAAGGCAGAAAGATCAGCTGGTGCCTAAAGCATGCTCACTGACCCCTCTGCCTAAAAACCAGTCTGAAAAGCCATCTAGGACAAAAGGGTTTCCAAAGTAGGCATGTATATATCAAAAACTATTTTTTTGTAAAGGCAAATTCACTCTGTGGAGAAAACCCAGGAACCCTTCTTTATAAAGAAAAAAACTCTTGTCAGAACCAAGAGCTATTCCAGGGTCTGATTTGTCTGTCTTGTGAAAATAAATTAAGCTAAAAGACTTATGGTGTCACTTATGCTCTGGGCTAGGGCCCTGAAGACATGCCTCTGTGCTCTGGGGCCGGTGCCAGCAGTGGGGCATCTGCCCCGAGACCTGGGAAAGCCAGGCTCCGATAGGCTCTCCTGACCCACACTTATCTACCCGTGACTTGGCTTTACAAGTGTGTCCTGAACTCAGAGCATGTGTGGACCAGCGCATGCCTACAGACCCCCCCATACACGTGTACTGGTGCACGCGCACAAACACAGGTACGCACATACCCCAGACAGCAAGGGGAGAGCTTGAGGTGGTCGTGTAGGAACAGCCCCGTTAGGAAATGGGATGAAACCCCAAGCCTGCCCTGGGGGCTCCCCTGCCCCCTGTCTCCTCCCTGCATGGAGCCTGAGCACAGCCTGGTCCAGGCAGTCACACAGGAGTGGGTGTGAAAGTGCTCCCCAGAGGCTGAAACCTCAGTGGGGTGTTGGAAGTGTCTGGTGGTAGCTCAGAGGAAGGGGGCGAGGACAGGCGGTCTCTGGGCTCCAGTTCCACCGACTGGGAGGGTGGTCCCCTCCTAGGAGCCAGGCCTCCTGCCAGGGCTTGGAGACTTAGAGGGACTCTGGGAGCTGTGGGTCTGAGAGCCCCCAGCAGGGGAACGCCGTCTGCGAAGGCGCAGCCCCCCTGCCCTGAGGGCTCTCCATCT